CTAAAAGCTCTGGCTGCCCCTAGACAGGCAAATTGTGGAGAACTTCGAGCTTCAGTCAATGACTCGCAAAAGCAATTTCAGCCGCGGATCTTTGAATATTACCGAGCTGGGCTGGGGCAGCTCACACACCCACGGTGCCCCAACCCTAGGCACTTCTCAGTAATGACCCCAAGAGTCACAACCTGGCAGTGTGGAACTTGCGCCACCACTCCCACCCCACCCCCGACTGGGCTGGGATTCCTTTCTAAATCCCCCTGAGCAGGCAGCGGACTTTGTCTCTGGGCCGGCTCACCCATTGGTGTATTTCAGTGCGACCAAGAACATGGACTCTTGATGTCGCACGGAGGCCTAGCAAGCGGATCTCTGGCCGGGGATCCCTGATGTGGTGGGCGCCGCACTCGCACCCAGTGCCGGGTGGATGACCCTGTGACTGAGGCGGGATAGGGATCTCGCTTGCCAAAGCAGCTCTTGGCAGGATGGCATTTGAGTCTGCACTTGCCCTGCTGGGGTGGGAAAAACCTAGTCCCCAGACCGAATAATCATCTCCCATCCACCCCCGCATGCGCGCGCGCCCTGGGTTTGCTTTTTAGGGGTAAGGAGACACAGGAGAGCAAGAGGCCTTGGCTGTAATCGGAAGGGACCTGGATTTGCCAGCAGCAAGAATGCACTGATCCACCGCTCCACTGGACTGCGGTACTCCTCGGAAAGGTCAGGACCTTGGCCACCCAAGAGCTTTGGGGCCCGCCCCGCCCCCTACTTCATTTTGGGGGAGAAAGGTAGATCTGAGCAGAAGTCATCAGCCAAGTCATGAATTCAGTCTTGGGGCCTTACTACTAATTCCAAGAGCCTGAGGACCGTACCAGGTCTTGGGAACCAACTCGCCATCCTGCCCAGCTTGCAGCTGCGGAGGGGTCCGGAGCTCAACTCTAAGCTACAGTCAATCTTGGTTTCCTAGAGGGTAGATCCACACTAGGTGAAGTTGGACAGCGACTGCAGGAGGGACCACACCAAGAAAACACACACCTAGAGTTAGGATTCTTAATTGCAAGTCTTCTATTTCTTGGCCTCGAAGATTTGCTAGTCCCACAACGTGTACTCCCTCCACAAGAGGGTTTGGGAAAAATCAGTTTCTTGGCGTTCTTTGGTCTTTGTTATGTGTGCTTAAAGTATACACTGGCTGCAGCCTAAACACCTGCGACCTCTTACAAAATCAATTTGAAGGGTGATTTTAGTGATTTCTACTTTTGCATCCGGAGGGAGGAAGCATTAAGGTTATTCCTCTCCAAAGTGTGCAACAAGAGGTTTCAAAAACCAGCTACAGACCTGCCGCCCATATCCTGGGGAGGTTCCCCTTGCAAACAGAAAAGGCCAGCCGGTTTTTCATCCCCTTTCCTTTTAGTGCTTGTGTGAACCTCGGTTCTGTCCTGGAGCCTAGGAAACATCCCTTTGACCCTAGAGATTCATCTGGAACTACGCAAAGGGAAAATAAGCCAAAGAAAGGCAAGCTGCTGAGTAGAGAACAGTGAGCAGGGGGCCTAAGCTGAAGCTGGGGCTGTTCTAACCCACCTCCAGAGCAGGTAAATCCTTGTGTGCCCGGCCTCGGGGCTCTGGCACACCCGGCCTAAATACTGCCACGTGCTCAGGGCTGCTGTGTCCCAGCTCTGCTTTTAGGGGAGGTTTGTGCGCGCGTGCACTATCACACAGCGCACAGCGCGTGCTTCTGGGTCCCAGCGCCTGAGGCCCTTCTAAGGCTGTCTGGACAGAACTTTGCGAGGTCCCGCAGAGCACCAACGCTAGACCTTTTCTCTGGCGTTAGACCCGAGGTCGCCCTGGCCTGAGAGGCTGCGAAAGCGTGACGCCATCCAGAGCCTAGCAATGGATAGCATCTTCCCGCCTCTGGCTTCCTCGCTGCCAGTCAGGCCCGCCACTTGTCAACCCTAGCTCAGTCAGTTCCCCTTACCTCCCAGCAACTACAAGACAACACCGGCCCAGGCCGACCTGAGCGCCCGGTCAGTTCCCGAGTGCGCAAGTTGGAGCAGCCCGGGCTCGCCGGCGCCTCCAGGTAGGAACCGCACCAGCGCACTTTTCCAGCCTCAGCCCTTCACCTCCCCCTCCCAGACGCACCCTACAGAGCGAGGACCCGCGGGTGTTTGGGGTAGCTGTTGTTCTTTTTAAAGTATATTAAAGGATCATTGGCGTCTCCCCGTCAAGTCATTACGCCTTTATCCCCATCAATTAAGCACACCTCAGAGGGCTGCTATTAAGAGCTAAATTGAGCTGCAAAAGTAGGTATCCCGTTTCAGGCAGATGTTGTTATCTCCCGCTGAGGCGCGGCTTGCCGGGCTCTACCTCCGCTTCCCGCTCCCGCCCCAGCAAGGCTGGACCCGGCTCTACACGCGCGGCAAGGAGGCTGATCCGAGGTCGCAGCTTAAACAATGCGCTGGTGTTAGGAATGCACCCTTGCCCATCTCAAGCGGGTAGCGCGTCAGTAAGAAGTGTCTTCCGGAGTTCAGTGGGGGAAGATGCCAAGAGCTTGCTGAGCGTTTTTGCTCAGAGAGGTGGATGTGTTCAGAGCTGCCTCCCAGCTGGGGTTGCAGAAGGAGGAGGCTGTGGTGAAGAGGACACACTAGCGAGGTGTGGCTGGCCGTCTGCTATCGCATGCCCCTCTTCCTCCCCCAAGCTCCTTCCTGGGTAGCAGAAACCCAGAAACCCTTGTGGATCAAGGCGCGGTGCGGTGGAGATTGGGAATTTGAGGCTACAGAATCCCGAATAGAAGTGCACTTAAGACAATGGAGACTGACTTGGAACTCATGTGGCCTTCCAGCCAAATGTCTTTCCACTCTTTCTCACTCCAGATACTCGAGGCACCACCGTCTCCCACAGCTGGGAGAGCTTGGAGCGCTAAGGAAAGAAACAAAGGGACACGGCCCTTACTGCAGTCACAGGGTTTTCTTCGTGACACTATCCACAATAAATTAAGCCAAGGCTAAAAGAGATTAATTTCCCAACATAATCCAATTAAAAGATTTCTAAACTAATCTTTTACGGAAAAAAAAAAAACCTAGAAAGTGTGCGGTTAAAGAGGGGTCTGGTTTTGACGACAGTGATTTATCACCTTCACACTGAACTCAAGCAGGGAACACCTGCCCTTCTGTGAGCAATTTTACCAGAGCACCCAGGTTGGCGCCTCTGGTTCAACCTGTGCCTTCCAGAAAGCCACCTACCGCACTAACCTGGGCCTGGCTGAAAGTAAAGAGACTGGGTTGCTTACAAGCACCATAGACTTTTTAAAGTGCTATTAGATTTATGGTCTCTTTGTCAACGCCCATCTAGAGTAATTAGCACATATGTTCTAAATAGATGATAGTTTTGTGAGCAATAAAGCAATTACCCATCGTTGGAGCTGACAGTTCCTCCGACTAAACTCCAACCAGCAGCTAATTGGAAAAGGCATTTCAGCTACATTGTCTGCAATTAGTCCTGCTAAACTACTACACCCCAACTTGCTGGTTTGAGGTTAATTTATTCAGCGTTAAATTTGCATGGACAAGCCTTTGCCACAAAGGGACTTGCCTTTTGCCCCTCTGGACTGCACCCAGGAACTGAAGGAGAAGGTGGGAGTAAACTGCTGATATTTGGGGGCCAAGATAACTCCTGGACTAATGTAAGGGGTGCCCCATCCAGTCTGAGGTCAAGGTCAGTGTCCATCAGGCTGAATATGTACAGAGGAAGTCATTGTTTCTTCCACTGAGCAGTAAGCAGAGGAAACCCTCAGTTTGTGCTACCAAAACCTCCATTATTTTTTTTTTAAATCAAATACAAGGGAAGCATGAGTTTTGAATTACGCCCTCCTCGTGTCCACCCAGGACCACCCCTACCGTCCCCAAGAGAGAAATGTGAATCGAATAACATCCACCCAAGAAGAGCTCTGAGTCCTCATCTGGAGGAAGCAGCCTACAGTTCCCAAAGTGGCTCCAGGAAAGAAAAGGCTAGAAAGGTCAGGAAGCCTGGCTTCTGCCTGCTGGTCTCTGAGCATAAAGCCACTTCCCCCTTGAAAATGGGATTTCTCCCGAACTTTTAACTTGCTTTTCTTTATTGTTTCCTTTTCCTCTCTCTTTTTTTTCCTTCTGAATCTTTTTTCTTCCTTATTTCCTAAAGTTAAACCCATCCGTCCAGGATGTGTGTACATTGAGTGGAAACAATGTGTTAAACGTTGGTTTGACGCCCCGCGGGCGCTTCCAAGTACCCACAGCTAAGATTCTTCTACTTCATTTAATCTTTAGTGGACAGGGTTGCCCCTGTGCTCCTATTCACCAGGAAACCCGAGGAAATATATCAGTTGGGATTCAAAGTCCTGGGAGGGAAAAAATAGTTAAAGAGAGATTAATCTGCCCCCACCCAGCTTCTAACTTCTGAGCTGCAACCTCAGCAGGCTGATAGTTGGGGTTGATAGAGAAGGGCTGTTGGGGCTCCCAGCCTCTGCAGCCAAGAGTATCTGTATCAGGCAGCAGAGAGACTGGCAGGTTGACATGAGAACTTGTAGCCCTGGTAACAGAGTATTCCCCTAGAGGAATTTATAGCAGTGTCCCAGGCTTAGAATTCTGCTTAGAAGAACATGGAGGGAGGTGCTTCCTACGGAGGGAAAGCCCGTTTGTTTTCAGTCCTCAAAATCACATGTCCTTCTCTGGATGACTATTCGTATTTCATTTCAAAACAAATGTGGCAAACCCAAAGGACGATGCATTGAGTTCTGTTTTAGTCAGCCTGAGTCTTATTAAAATAATTCTAATTTTAAAATAAATTGTGATCAATTATCAGCTTCAAAAAATTATCAGCTTCAAGGAGTCGAAAATACAAAAACAAAGGAAGAAAAACTTTTACTGGACTTTATCTTTGGCTCCTTTTTTCCACTTATTTATTGTGTTTTGTCTAATTGAATTTGAAGCAGAGAAATTGAAAGTAAAGGGCTTGTTACCAGTCTGTCCCATATGTCATATCATCTCCACCTTCTGAGGGGAGACTTTTCCATCAGACTTCTGGTTGAAAACAGAAAGGAAATAAGATGTCTTTCCAAAATAATAATAATAATAATAATAATAATAATAATAATAATAATAATAATAATAATAATTGAGTTCTCATTTGTGTTTTTAGAAGTGAGGACAAGAAAAAGCTTAAGGGAGAGCCAATTAAAAGTATCACCTGATGTGGTGGAGAATTAAAATGTAAACAAAGCTTAATAGAATTTACCCAATCCCTTCAGTGTATGAGACATACACACATACATGCAATGCCCCCCAAAACACCCTAAGGTCCTGTGTGCTGAGATGCAGTCCTATGCAAGCTCAACTAGCTGTCTGCAGGCATGTATTCACTTCTGGAGCAAAGGCATTTTTGTTGCTCCCATAGTTTCTTTCCATTAAGAGCGATTAGATGATGTCTATTCAAAGTTGCTGATCCAGAGAGAAAATAAGAGTAGATAAAAGGAGATTTCAAGTGACCTCCTCATCCCTTTCACACCAACCTGAGCCCTAGAATAGCCTAGGATCAACCAACACAAAAGCCCTTTACTTTCTCCTTTCAGCTTCAGAAGATTTCATGCAAGGGGTTAACAATAAAACATAGAACTGCCCTGAGTTTTGTTAGGTCATGCATTTGGAATACTTTATTAACTCCTCCTGTGGATGAGCTACATAGATTTTCCACCTCTGATGTGGGAAAATAAAATATACATATCCTAACATGGGGCATAATTAATTTCTGCTCTATATGGTTTGTATCAGAGATGTTCTGTATTCATCCTTTTTCATTTAAAACTTTGCCTGAACCCTTACCCCTCAAATATAGAGGATACTGTAATAAACATGTCTTTCCACTGACAGTTTGGAAGAAATTATTAGGTTTACTATTTTGATCAATTTTTTGGTAGGTAAATACAATTGTAATATGACTGCAGTTACTAGATTTGCTTGGCTTTTCCTCAGTCACTAGTTTATATCATAGTTTGTGATGAAAATGGCATTAGCGACTTTAAACATATTCAAGCAGTCTTTAGTCAGTGAAATGTCCGACTCAGCTCTACATCTGATGAGCTAATCCTGTAGTAAAAGAAATAGGTGCTCTGACAGGTAACTATTAAGGGAAATGATTATATAGTACAGTTGATTGTATTGTCAAGATAGTCTAACAACCTTCAAACTCATTTCAAAACTTCAACTTTTCATCTAAACCAATCCATTTTCTCTGGGAAGAATAGCCATACAGTTATTCTTCAGCCAAGTCGGGCATTTAAAAACAAAAGAATGTATTGTAACATAAAAAAGCAACCTTCTTTCTTTCTTTTTTTTTGTGATATTTCTTAGTCTGGTCTTGGATTTTATAAAACTTAAATATTTGGCTCTGGCTTCACTAATGTACTAGAAATGATAGTCACTTTGCCTCTTGTTTTGCATCTAAATGTCAGCTCTCACTTTGCTCTCCTGCTCTCTTCCCACCCCAAGGTTCTTAAGCCTGGTTTCTCTAACTGGAAGCTCAGGCACACTGGGATGTCTCTCTTATCTTTCCCAAAATATGTTTTATAAATATCTTGGTTTGAGATAGGAAACTAAACCACCTACAAAGTTCTTATCTCTTAGCTTTTTAGCTCAAAGATGACAAAGAAACGCCTGGGTGACATTGGATATGGAAGCTTACTAGTTCCAAGGTGCATTAAATCCTGTGAGCAGCTAGGTCCATCTACTCAGGCCTGCAGAAGCCTAAATCCTAGCCTGGAGTTTCCATCTGGACTTTCATGTTGACAGAGACTTTTTTTTAAACAGTTGGGCAGTTATAATGCAGACTGTGTTCAGTCTTGGGAATGGGGGAGAGATTTCTCATCTAGCTGGAATGTATTTATTTATTTAGCTTTGGTAATCTTAAAATATTGGGTGGGCATCCCTGTACCTCTCTCCATTGCCCCCCCCCAAATTGTTCAATATCATGTTTAAAAATCTTCTACAATTGTATTTTCCCAGGCATGTAATCTCATGCCAAAGGAGGCTACTTGGTTTGGTAACTTTAGAACAAGCTCTTTGGGGAAAGTCTACATCAAGATGAGGGGAACTGACCTTTCTCCGAAGGGTTTGCAAGCATGTTCATCACTCCACATAAGCTTGGTAACAGGGTTACTTCTGTCTTGTGGTTTCTCTAAACAGAATAATACTGTTTTAATGACTTAAGGGTGGGAAAGTGGTGTACAAAAGAATTTTCTATACATGTGAAAGAGGCCAAAGGACTAGTGAAGACTTTAGGTTGGCCTAATTCCTACCTGGGGGGGGGGGCTATGGAGGTTATGTAAATTGAGTGAAAAGAGCACTTAGACTCAGGCTTTGGGGCTTCCTTCACTAGTTCCTACTATATAGGCAGCCACAGACTCTACACACACACACACACACACACACACAGAGAGAGAGAGAGAGAGAGAGAGAGAGAGAGAGAGAGAGAGACCAATTACCAGAAAAAATACCAGATAGCTGGCTGGGAAATCAAGGCGTTTAAAAAAAAAAAAGTTATTAACACACAACCATACTGCTAGAAGCACATAAGGAATATAGTAAATTCACAGTTTATCCCCTTGACCAAGCAGAGGGCACTTTCTCATTTAATCTAGGTGGAATCCCACTGGCCACCCTGTGTGGGAACTAAGAGTAGGAGAAAATTACAAAAAGAAGGCTATGGATGAGGCCTTCCAGAAGCCTTCCTGCAAGGCCTTTAGGGTCTCCAGACTTGTCTAACCAGGAGTGAGTGAGTGAGTGACCCTGGAGAAAGTGCAGCACCATGTCCCTGCCCTGGACCCCATACAAAAAGACCCTTAGAGTGCTGAAGGAAGGTATCACAGCTGTCTTTTGTTTTGTTTTGTTTTGTTTTGTTTTGTTTTTTTCCTAGCTGATGAGCTTGCCTGGATATATGTGGAATTTTACAGTTTGAGGACTCCGGTGTCCTTGAAAAAACATGGGCATTTTCTTTTAGGTGCCCTATCCAACCACAGATACTACAACCAGGGACTATGGCAAGTTAAGAAACAAAGCCAGAACTTCCCAAGCACTGGGATGACCAGTCGGGGATAGGGGGGGCCTCTACGGAAGCCATTTTGGTGGAGGCAGTACTGTGAGCTTGGGCACAAGTGGGACTCTGCTGGTGTGCAGCTGCTCTGGGGGGCACAGAATCGCGAGGCATTGAGTCCTCGGTGCTGCTGGAGTAGACTGAGTCCCATAGGCGGCGAAGGCCCTCCTCAAAAAGTCTCTGGTTCAGCTAACTCCTCTCAAGAGACTGGGGAACACAAGCGTCTCCCCCTTCCGAAAGCCTGGGGCTTCCCCTCCTGTAGGCACCACCAACAAACAGCCTCCCATGCCTGCTCCTAGAGCTAAGGCTAAAAATTACAATCTCACTCTGGAGGAGCTGGCTGCTTCACCTAAGGTCTGAAGAGGCCGATTTCCTCCACTCTGGTGGTCAGAGTCCCAGAGGCCTTTTTGCGAGTTTGGAAGCTTGGGGCAGGGAGGGAACGCGGAAAGGAGAGGCCACAGTGAGGATGGGTGGGCGACATCTCTCCCACTGAGTCTCTGCTGGTCCTTCAGCTTTGTTGCAGGACTTGACCCCCCGACTAGCCCTTGCAAGCAGGGTTGATTCATTCAAGAGCCCACCAAGCCCCCGGGCGCGGGCAGGAGTGTCAGCTCCCCACCCCCACCCCAGCCTGGCGAGCCCGCCCTGCGCGCCCTCTGACGCAAACGCGCGCCCCTGCCCGGCGCAGGGTGGGTAGGGGGAGCGCTCCTGTTGGTTTTAATTGAAGCTCTTCCTTTCACACACACAACCTCGGTCCCCACTCCTAGGAGGAGAACCCCTCCCCGCCCCCAGCCGGCCTAGCCCAGCGTGCAGTCTGCCTTTACCACCGCGCGGCTCTCCCGCGGCCTCCTCTGGTTCTCTGCTTGGGAGAACCGCTGCTGATGTCCCCTTTAATCCGCTGACACTATCGCCCACATCAAACGGGTAGCCATCGATTGCCTTACTTTACACTCGCTGAGACCGCATGCGAGTCTCTGCCCGTGGCTGAGCGCGGCTCCGGAGCAGAGCGGCTAGGCACAGGTGCCCAGGCCAGGGGGCTCCACGCAGCTCCCCCGCTGCTTGCTGCAAGCTGGCCGCGAGGGTGCAAAACCCGATGCAGTCTCGGGTCCCCTGCCCACACAGCCTTTCTCGCCCGGTCGGGGAGGCTAGTGTGGGGATCTGTTTTGGATTTGGATTTGGCAGGGACCCCCACCTCCAAGGATGTGCACCAGAAAGGACGGAAAATGATAGCTCCCGACCAGGCCCAAGCGAAAGTTCTCCGGGTCCCACCTGGGCCGCCTTGACTTCATTTCTAGGCTGCCGAGGCCGAGTGAAGATTGCCTTTCTGCCCAATCACATTATCGAAGGTTACAGACCCCAAGTTCCAAAGAAATCATTATTGTTGCTTTACTTGCCTGATAGGTCAGTGTTTGGCCGAGTCTCGCTTCTGGTACCCACCGTGTACAGTCCAGTGTCCGAGGGCGGCTGGACAGGCGGACCCGGCATCCAGCAGGCCTCCGGTTCCCGGACGCTTGCTTTTTGCTTCCTCTCCCACTCTTTTGCGATGCTTCCCTCCCCCCAGCCTCCTTTTTTTTTTTTTTTTTTTTTTTTTTCTCGGTTCAGCTGCTCACGACTCGTCTTTGATTGTTTGGGGAGTAAATTTCAGAATTTCTATATAAACAGTACTCTCTCGCTCTCTCTCCCTCTTCCTTTCTTCCTTTTTTGGGGGGTCTTGGGGGGCTATTTTTTAATCATATCAATTTTACCTTTAAACTAGCCGGGAGACTTGATCACGAATATTAGGGCTGAGGGGCTAAGGCCAAGAGCCCCTGTCACCCCTGTCCGCCTCTCCATCGGCAGCATACAATGGGCTGCAGCACACAGGGTACAGTCTCCATTATTCCAGCTAGAAGAGCTGTGGGGCACACATAACAAAGTCTTCATTCTGCTCTTAAAAAAAAAAAAAATTATCACTGGCCACTAAACGATAGGTTCCAGAGAAGCGTAAACCGTACCCCAAATACGCAGCGCTTTCCAAACCCCTCCCTGGTGAGATTTAAAGTGGGAACCAGTATTAAAAACCAAACCCTACCTCTTCAATACAGCTTGGCCATTTACTTTCGCCTTTACCTGGGGGAGCTCGTAACGCTTGAGCAGAGAAAAACTTTTACGCTCTCCCGAGTCGAGGGGTGGGCTGGCAAGAGGGACTCCCACTACGGGTGGTGGCAGCCACGGCTTTGTCACTCTGCCTCTCTGCGCCCGCCTGAGTCTGCCTAGGGGAGCGATCTTAAAACCAGGGGGGGTGCAAGTGTGGGATTGGAGAATATGTAACTAATAGAAGTATCGTTTTCGGCTTCCCCCAGTACGATCTTTCAAGGAAAAAAATCCATTGAAAGAATTTTCAAAGTGCTGTCTTCATTTGGAGAAAAGGCACTGGCTGCCTATGGGAAGGGGAGGAGGGACTCGGCAGCTGGCCCCCCCGGCCCCGGTCCCCGCCGCCCG